CCGACAGACAGATACTCAATATTTATATAATTTGAATCCTGACTGATAACCTATCAAGGTGAGTTTTAGTTGCCTATAAACCCCCTTCCCTCCCTCTTTAAGAAGATTGGTGGTCACTAATAAGCTCACTTTAGGTTGATCTGAAACTGTAGCATTTTTCAATTGTTCTGTAGTGCCTTTTCCATATAGAAAAGCTATCATCTCAATATTCTCCTTTTATTTCCTGCAAGTATTGTTGTTTAAAAAAATATTTTCCAGAAACTTATTTGCATAACGATATTCAGTTAAAACAAGTCATGCTTTGGAAATAGCTTCCTCCATATCCGCGACATAGCTTACAGTTGTTGTTTTTAAAAAATCTTTATTTAGCAGATTGAGAGCGAGTGAAACTTTCATTGCTTATTGGATAGTCAGACTGGAAGTTTAGATATTTAATTCAATGGGCACTGGGTTCGAGCCTCGGTGGGAACATCATCACTCACTGAGAAATTCAGGTAAATCCAGTGACGAGTCCCAAATAGGACGAAATGCGCATCCTGGATTCCACTGCTAGTCCCCATCCATCAGTTAAATACTAATTAAATGCCCAGACATCGTCGAAGCATCTGTACAAGAAGCCGACATGTCAACCTGAGACCGAGCACTTCGGTCCAATCAATCGACGGGAAAATCCAAAATTCAATTCAATTTATTTCAATGTGTTGGTTTCCTATTTACTTTTATTTTGAAGCTTCATCTACATGTACGCCATCGGCTTGTTATAGAGACTTTCAAATCATAGGGTGTTTATTCAACTTTTTTCAACCCCATGGTTGTATCTAGAGAAATTCAAAACCCCACAAGTACAAAATTTATGCGTTATGAAGGGTACAGATCTTATCAAAATATTGTTGTTATTAATTATATTTCTTGACAGTCAGATGAGAAACTATTGGAATATTCTTTTATTTTCTTTGACAGTTGATTTTTGGTACTTTCAGAACAGAATGTCATATCAACAGAATTATCGAGTATTTTGAAAAGTTGCTGTTGACTTAATCCACAACGTTCAACAGCTAACTGATATTCTCCTGATGATGTACAATCAAATACGCCCTTATCATCAGTCTATAGAAGAGTAGAAAAATAAAGGCGGAAAATCAAAGTAAACAGAAAGTACAGCAATTTATTCAGTAAATTAATCACTAATATTTTGGAAGTTATCAACGGAAGGCATCCATTCCTGATGATACAATAATAATCTGCTCGTCCGTCTCAAAGCTGACGGACGCAAGCTGAATCCATTCTGAGATAATAAATGCACACTGCCAAAGAATATTAGACTACAAGAAGACAACTGTCAAGTACTCTTTGGTTTTAAGTAACCTCTAGCTGGTATACGAATAGAAATTGTGCACTGTAGCAGAGTATAATTCCATTGTGGGTCAAATTTATTTTGATAAGGTCTCATAGTGTTATACAGTATTATTTACTGATGAATTTCCGAGCACACTTTATTGCTCATAATCACATCAAGGTACTCACACAACTTTCCAATATCGTTTATATGATTTAACTATTTCTTATCTCTTGATTTGATTGGTAGTAGTGTCAAGAAGACAAGACTGAGGAGCCTGAACGGAATGTTTATTAGGTGAAACGTATGGTACATAGCTAAATTTGGTATACCATATTCTCAACCGGCCATTTGCACATCATTTACCACATCCTTGACGAATTGGTCGAATATCGTCTCATTCGATAGCTTCTTGGATTCTGCATCATATGGCAACATTCTTCTCATGGTTCTCTTCTTTGATTGCTCTTTCCAGTGTGCCAAACATATTGTTACTTCGTTTCTGATATACTACTTAAATCGGATTATAAGTAGCACTCACCACAGTAGTATTTTCCATATCGCTGGTATAAGTGATGAGTCATTCCTATTGCACGAGTTGGGTGTAGACTCTATGAACCTCTCTCTCCACCTACCTATACTACTTTTTAGAATTTAAAGCCTCTTCCACCCTGTTGTTTGTTTGTGTGTTAATGCATGCATATAGGGAGGGGACATCTAAGACCCTACGCAGGATTACTAATAAAGTAGGAAATAGGGTGGCATTTAAACCTACAAACTCACTCAAGGACAAGCTCTATAGGTTAACGGACCCTGTTGACCCAACTGGACAATATAATATAATTTTAAAAATACCTTGCAATGACTGTGAGTTAAGTCAATTGCATAGGTAAAACTAGTAGATTGTGTGTAGTGAGATTGTCAGAACATAAGAATTTAGCTAGGACTGGAATAATTGACCCCGCGAAGATAAGTAATTTAGAAAAAAGCTCGGTAATTGCACTGCATGCATTAACACACAATCACACAATAGGGTGGGACAGAGTCGAAATTCTAAAAAGTAATGTAGGTAGGTGGAGACAGAGGTTGATTACTGAATCCTGGTTCATCGAGCCTATAACCAACACATACAATAGAAGTGACTCAACGCAAATACCAGAGATATGGAAAATACTACTACCAATCAAATGAAGAGATAAGAAATAGTTGAATCATATAAACGATATCGGAAAGTTGTGTGAGTAGTGCCTTGATATGATTATGAGCAGTAATAAATTGTGCTCGGAACGTCATCAGTAAATATTACTGTATAACACTATGAGACTTTATCAAAATAAATTTTATCCACAATGGGACCTGTAGCTGGCTTCCTCACATTAAATCAACCACTATGAAATAATATGTAGTTTTAAGAGAAATAAATTCCACTACCGTTTTAATCATATCCGGGCAGTTTTTTCCACATCGTTTTTACCAGTGAGTCTTCACACTATTCTCTTCGTCTGCATAGTTTTCACATCTCGTCTCATAACACACTAGGACGATAATGCTAAGAAACCGAGTGAACAGCTATCACATACACAGACGCGCACATGCGAATTCCTTTTTCATTTCAAGTTGAACAAAAGGCTTCAATCTTGATTCTTGTACTTTCAGCGATGGTGTTGTTGTTTATGCCACACAGAGTTGCTAGCCCCATACCCAAACTTGCCCATTTACCAAGGCTACTACTATCACCTGAGCGAGTTTGTTGGCTGAAAATCAAACTCTGGTTGGCGAGTATCCCTAAAATCGAACAATGATACGCCACCTATATCAATAGTTAACATTTATTCAGTGAATTAGAGATTATAACTATCATCAACATGTGAAAAACTTACACAAATACAGACGGGATGTTCTCTTTTCGTCCAATAGTTGATGTGATGAGATTCGTAGGTTTCAACAACTTTTGATTGGACATTTGATGTAAGGCATAACTCTTTAGTTGGGAAATTTAAAAAAAATAATAAATATTACATTCAGTAGTGTATCATACGAACACTAGAAAAGTACACGAGTATTTTTAAAAATGCTTTTGTGTTATACCTTCTTCATTTCCATCTTAAACATAATGGAAACGAAAACTTGGAATAGAGATTTTAGTAGCTTACATTAGCGTTATTAAACATATTGAGCTCTGATGGATAGCTCGAATTATTTGCTTCATGCTAAGTTGGTGGTGAAATGCTAGACTCATCAGATGGGATGCATTCCAGTGTGACAGACATCAGTAATTCCTACTTCGAATACATTGCAGGTCACTGACAACTAAGTCATGATAATTACCTGTTGTATTCAGCTTTATAATTAACAGAAATACGCCCGGCCGAGAGCTGCTACTTTTATGTGGTGGTTGGGCTTGAATATCTGAATGATCCGACGAGCTATGCTCGTTGAGATTAAAGTTTCTACATGTTCTGCCACATGAAAAAGGTTGTTTGGGTAGCGATTAAACTAAAGGCAGCTACCGTCATAGTATAACTCGTATACACTATGTTGGGGCTTTCGGGTGAAGTCCTACTATTGGGAAACAGTGATAAATGGTAGAAAAATTCATCCTTTAGATGAACAGCATGCCAGCTATTCTGCCCCTTCGCTTCGCAAACAAGGGGTTAGGGAACATCGAACTCAGAAACTGTACATCCCGTCTTAGCCTGCAACGGTCCGTATCCGGCCGTAAGATCTTAGCCCGGATACAACTCTAAAAATCAATTCGAAGAGACCGTTTGTCACCGGCCTCCAGCAGTTGTCCACTAGGCTCTGAAATTATGCAACACTAATCATCTTTCGCTTTCAAGTACCCCAAGATAAAGCCAACTTCCGCCGTGTGAGCAGCCGGGAAGTAACTATCCCCCACACACTTCCAAAAGCACACAAATCTTTTTACAAAAAAATATTACTCTTATTGGGGATGAAGGTAAACCAATGATTACGAATGCTAAAAGTATCACCTAGATTCAGTCACTAACAATAACAATAGAATTATATTCAAAATGGTAACTGTAATTATATCGAAATGATTAAATGCTAAAGGAGGCCAACTAATTCACTCTAATAAAGTAATATAATGGGGGAGAGATATTCAGCTACTACACAATAAATAAGTTTACTGCCTCTAATCAGCCTTCCCATTCCTACGTAAGCATTTGTTTATTTGCAGATGATAACATTCGCAGTGTGTACCGATGTATTCGGATATGTCGTTTTTCAAAGTTTCAGTAAAAGCTGTCAAGTCAGATAACCACTCATATTCTTTTGGAATTCAACTCAACAGTTACTACTCAATTGATTACAGTCATTGTATGGAATATTTGGAATTGTGGACAGCGACGTGAGAGTCACAAATTGAGTATTGAAATATCAGTGAATTAAAAAAGTCACATAATCATACTTTAGTAGTGCGACTAATCGCCTTATACGTTGAACTTTCAGAGAATGTGACACAGGTTCAAAACAAGACTTCCTTTTTTAAAGCCATAGGGCTAGCACAAAATCTTGTAACATATTACTGAGTTATCTTTAATGCTAGAGATAATCGAATTTTTCGCTTTATGTAGGTTCACTAATACGATGCGTAAACCTATCTTGATGATTATGTTATCAGTAACAAGATCTGGTTTTAACAGCCTCTTAGCTTCAAACCGATGAGCTCTGAGGTTCGAATCCCCTCCGTCTACTTAAGTTTGGGTAGTATCTTTAGCTCTGACATGACAGGTGTAGTTCGTAGCCTGGTACATGAAAATATGTTCCGGGTATAAAAAGGTTGTAATGTACAATTCAGGATGAGTAAGAAAAACGATTAAATTTCAGCATCAATTCTTCTACTCCTTCCCGTCTAAATTTTGCGGTATCATAAGAAAAAAGAATAAAAAAGTGCGAAGCTCTCCTGGAAAACAGAAAACGGGACAAATACAATAAATATTATGTTAGACAACAAAGTTTTAGTTGTTGAACAATTAGCACACATCTAAGATTCTCGTCTGGGATAATTTCAACCTCTTGATATAATCCTCTCCGAAAATGGTTTCTGAGTACGGTAAGAAATTTAACCTGACTTATCAAAGCCAACTCCAACAGTTTGCATTTCAAATTATTAACAATTTTTGATGAAAATAATTTAGCCCAATAGTCACATGCAATCTCATGGATGGGTAGAGCAAGTAGATTACTTCACTGAGTTGGAAACAGGTGAATTACCTCACTTGACTGAATATTCTTCTGCCAAACTCACAGATAGCTCGACAATTTTGTCGCAAGGCATAGAATATGTTCTGCCCTCAACAACCTGATTACGCGTGTTCAATTATTCCAAAGTATGTTATTTAGATTACAGCTATAGTTATTAATGACGACTGAAATCAAAAAATGGTAATATTTTCCTACTTACTGGTTGATACCTAACTCTTTTATGAATATACCAACATATTTTTAAGACAAATTGCCTTACAAAAACCCATAAAAGATTTGAGTGATCTTGGCCAACACGATAGAGTAACTTAGAAAACGAATACCTGGAGATAACAGTTATAAACATACAACCGTACATAAATACTTCTAAGAAATTAATCTAACCTAAGGGTATCCGAGAATTCAGCACAACTTCTTTTGCCGCAATTGCATTTACATCCGAATTTGTTAAATATGTTCCATGTCCCAAACGATCTGGTAAGTGATTCTTTAAAAATTTGAACCAATCTTCACTTTGATCAGGTGTTTCAGCAATGTGTACAGTTGTTTTTAAACCATACAAATGAGCTGCATTTAGCATTGGAATGAAATCACATAAATTTCCTACCTATAAAATAATGGACAATAACTAGATAATAATTACTTTCAGTTGGATGACTTTTCAAATAGTGTAGATAAGAAAAATATTCTGAGTATTGAAGATCAGATGGTCAACTGGAAAGAATTGGCAACATACCAACCAGGAACCTATTGCCCAGCAAATATGTAGAGTGAAATGCGAATGGACAGGACATACGCCGAGGAGATCGTTAAGTGACAGCATTCACCAGGCAAGCCATCATGTGGAACCTACGTAAGAAATGACAAGTTCGGCATCCGAGGGTGACACTGATAAGATTGTGTGAAGAGGAGATTAAAAATTACAAGTGATCGTGCAGCCATCTAAAAAGAACTTCAGAGAACAGAATCAAATGGTGGTGTTTCTGAAGTCCTATATCCCACTCAGAACAATATATTTCTACAAATCGTCGTAAAGTAACCGCTCATTGTCTTCTAAAATTGCTTAGACTATATCATTAGTCGATGTGCAAAGTAATGTTTTTATTCTATGTAACAGCTAGCAGTGGACTGTTGACCTAAGCACTTAAAATATTATTCCGCAAACGCGATTGCTCTTGCGTCATACAAAATAATGACTTTACAAACAAAATGTAGATTAAGAGAGAAGAAAACGTATAACTGGGTACTGGTAAACTGTTTGACATTTCAATGGAAAATATTTGCACATTTTATGAATATAATTCATTTTAAACTCTTAGTTGAAAGATCCAACCACGAATCTGCAGTATTTTTGTTAAAATCACGGTTAAAATACCTCCAATTTAGAAAATTAGTTATATGACACAGCCAGGATATTTGCAAGAGAGAATAGAGACTAAAAATAGACGGCCTCGGATTTCGGGAATACTACGTAAACATATCACACGAAAATGAGGATTCGACGAAACAGTGGAAATATAAGGAGACTAATAAGCACTGAATCTGATGTGGATTATACCTGGTGGTGGCAAATTAACTTAATTGCTGACTGCTTAGTAACTAAATGCTTACTAAACATTTGCCACTCATTTTATTCTATCTTTTGTGTACAATGGGTTCTAACACAAGAAGCGGAATTCACAACTTCTGCACAACCCTGAATATAAATATTAATTTGGATTTCATTTCAATATTAAACAATAGAATACATAAATATCATATGAACAAACATGTTAACTTACTTGCGGATTTCCGCTGACATCAATACCAGATATTAATCCATTAGAAAGATATTCTTTGGCCAAGTTTAAGGTGATTAATGCATCATCAATACTTTTTGACCTATCTATAGATAGTAATAGTGTCACACACATTTTTCCATCGATTACACTTGGGGCATTTTGTATGCCTTTAATTACGGCATCTAAATAAGAACGATGAGTAGGAATCGGTCGCAATGTAGTTCTCAATTCTAAATATATAACATTATCTTGATGAAATTCTTCAACGACAGAAGTTGTTGCCTTTTGAGGGAAAGACGAAGATTAATAACTCTTGTGTAAACCATACATCATTTCATTTGGAAATTTACATTAAAACGTACGAAAACAAGGGTTTCTAATGATAATTAGAACTATGTTCAGTTAAGTTTAGTTGAACGGAAACAATATGGAACATCTGACAGAAGTAAAGCTTCCTTACATGCAGGTCATCAGCAGCTAAATCAAAAGCTACAAACACTTGCTAATAATTGTAGCTATTATTACATAAAACAGATTCAAGCTCACGCTGCTATAAAAAAGGCTTCCCAAATTAAGGTTGAGACCTCTTGTAATAAAATAAGCATCTTTTAAAGATGATATGCTCGTACGATTATTTCCATGTCGTCCTTAATCTCCTTTAACCACTACTAATAACTACCGAACTGCATAAAGAGGGTCAAAATATACCGATAAGTTTGTCCTTCAGAAATAATAATAGAAAATGGGAATAATGGAAAACTGGAAAAGTTATTCATTAGGAGAACTGAAAGATTTCTACAAAGAGCTAGAACTTTGGAAAGTCTGTGACAGTGGTTCAGTCACACAACGGGAAAATCGAAACCAATTCATTTGACTAAGAGAAAGCGAAAATATCAAACGCCACTTTAACCAAATTCGTTTTATCTACTAATGCTTGTAGCCTGATAGTACAAGAAACAGTACGAATATTTTAACTTTTATTCATTTAAAGCGTCCTAACGCGATTATTGAGGTTTAAAGCATCTCCACTTGAGGAAAGTTAAGAGAAACAGACATTTAGCTCCATTGTGATGTGAAGACATGGACTGAAAATAGTTGTATCGAACTATTACATGCTGCAACATAGCAGATAATTGACCTAAGGGTTAGTGTGACGTTATCTGGTATCAGTAGAACTTTAAACCAGTTGTGCATAAACTTCAACCCCTAAGTGTCTTGTTTCAAAATACCAACTACGTTTATATATATATATATATATATATACATGAACGGGTTCATGTACTTACTAATACATACAAACAGTCCAACTTGAACACTTCATAAATAAAAAAGTGTTTGAAGAAACTTATGGACACCCGGGCAAAGACCTGGGTGCGCTCCCAATCCTTTTCACTGTAGGTTTGCCGTCCCTGGAACTCCTCACCGGCAGATGTGGCTATGGCACCGTCTGTGAACACTTTTAAGCGAAGTCTGGACAGCCATGCAGCGACACAAGGACTGCGTCCAAATGGCCTATCCCCTAAAATCCCATACACCATTCAGCGTCGTCATTTTACTTCTTTACATTCTCTCCCGTCTTACGCTCCTGAAAATTCTTACTAATACACTTGTTATTACTACTGATATTATATTTATATATATACATATCAACTTCAAATTTAATCAGCTATCGGCTTTCCGCTTTCTTTATTTCTTTTTCTGTCTTTTAGTCTGAATAACTTCACCAATCATATCTATTATTATCTCTTTTCTTTTGATGACGATACTTTAGGACTAGCTGGAGAAAGGATCAACTCTGTTCACAGTAGCAACAGTCTTAAAACGCCTCATACTACAAACAACACATAATCCCAGCACTACCCCTTTTGGAGTCAACCAAAGCTACGACAGTCGAGTGGCTGAAGTTTACCGAAGATCAGGAACCTATACCTCATAATCAAGAGGCGACCACAAGGAAATCGGTTTGTACTAGCTGGTAAGCACGGTACTGGATACTAGACATAGTAATAATTTCATTCTTCTGTATTAGTGTGATTTATAGCAATTACATCAGAAAATCTGCGTTCTGAAGGTTATATATTTTCAATTTTACTAGCTGAATCAATAAAGGCAATATCCATTACTATTAGAAACACATGAGTTAGGTGGAACTGCGTGATGATACATTATTTATTAGGCAACAATCAAGTGCATAAATCCCAAAGATAACCCAGCTAGCATTTCTTCGGGGCAAAAAACTTTGGGCGCATTGCCGTTCTTGAGTATTCGCCCCGAAGACTGCCCCAAAAAGTCTGCAATGCACCCTAAGTCTGCCCCAAAAAGTCTTCAATGTCTCTGAAGTCTGCCCCAAAAATTCTGCAATGCGCCCTAAGTTAAAGTCGGAATCGGGAATGTGCCCTAAGTCTGCCCCAAAAAGTCTGCAGTGCGCCCGAAGTCTGCCCCAAAAAAATTGCTGGCTGGGTAAGGCTTCTCATAACCCATACACAAATTAATCACTAAAAACAAATCTTTATCCAGTCATACATCATCCGTTCGTTAAACTGGAAGAAAAATATAAAAAAATTGGGTACCTACCAATTCCAAAATTTCCGGCGTCTGAATTAGATTATGAATAGTGCGAAAACAGTTGAAACAACTGACCGAAAGGGACAAACAGTTTGAATGAACTTCGAAATTTACCCTTCAAGATCACTTTCGCGCAAACAATTACCAAAGTGCGAATAAATATTGTGAATATCCTGATGAGCAGTTAGTGCATTTTTCAGAAACGTCCTACTGATACTACCTGAAAGGTGAGCATGCAATTCCTGACATAAGTGTGTCATATTAATAACATACAATTTTCGGCAAATTGTGGAAGAAATTCGTGACGTTCATTTCGACAATTATCAAAGTCTATTCCCTTCTATGTCGATATCCAAAGAAAACACTTCAAATACTACTCCAAGGTCGATTAACGCTTATATGACCTACGAACGTCTGGAGAATCAACCAATAACCGATCAGCACACATTTTTAGTCTACTAACCTGTCTTAAGACTAAAAAAGAGAATAGGTTAGGCGTGTATAAACAGCCGCACTCCGTAAAGTATATCGCTGTCCTCAATGACGCAGGTGGCAGAAGTCCTTAAACAAGGCAGTTGGTCGATGTGTCTTATACGCGTAAAATATTAGTCAAGGGGTCATGGAAAGTCCACACCTTAAGCTGATAAAGTTGATTTGATGTCAAGTCAATTGATTTGAAGTCTTGAGAAGTTATGGGCATAAAAAGTCAAAAATCTACTCTGATTAACCAGACGATACGCAACCATGTCTGTGTTACAACAAGGTTGACTATGCTGAAATGCGGAGGCTCTTGTCCGACGCAGACTGGCCCTTAGCATGGGATGAGCTATCTGTGGATGGACACTGGGAGGTCATAAAAAAAGATTATTTATACATCAATCTCGGTTACGTCCATTTAGTCACAACACAGCCCAAAAGAATGTCATCATGGTTAAAGAGAGGCACGCAACGTATTCTGCAAGCAAAGCAGAAGGCTTGGTTTACGTGGCGCGTATCTAAGAGTGAGATCGACCATGATGCATACCTGGAACTCAGGAACAGGTTCAATGCAAGAGATAGGAGGAACAGGAGGTCATTCCAGGCTAACCTTGCTGAAAAACTCCTAACAAACCCCAAGAACTTGTACCGACTCATGTCGGAAAGATAACCAACCAACCAGCGGGCATGCGCCTTAGTAGGCCCAAACGGTCAGTATCTCAGTAGTCTGGAGATGGCTGAAACCTTAAGTTTAGCCTTCGCCAAACAGCTAAACAGCAATGTGGGTATTACCGTTACGGACCGAAATGGTGGCACCAATATTTCACAGGAGGAAGACCTAACAGCTACTCCCCAAATAAACCCTGCAGTAGTACTAAGAAAGCTACAGCGACTCACACCTGGGAAGTCCCCAGGCTGTGACGACATCAGGCCATCTGTTCTGGAACAGTGCACCGAAGCTCTCTGTAGGCCTTTATGCGACTCGTTCCAACACTCCATGGAATCGGGGAAACTGCCAAGGGAATGGAAAAGAAGCATCCTTTCTCCGATCTTCAAGGGTGGGGATAAGCAAAATCCCACTAGTTATAGACCAGTAGCTCTACTCCCAGTGATATTAAAATTACTGGAAAGTATTATTGACGATCACATCAGGGAATATCTGGATAGGTCTAAAATACTTCACGAATCCCAACACGGTTTCAGGAAAGGGAGATCCTGCGTCACAAACTTATTATCAGATTGGGACGACTGGACATCATGCTGGGATATGAATTTTCCAGTCCATGTGATCTTTCTAGACTTTGAGAAGGCATTTGACACTGTTCACCATGACCTTCTCCTACACAAAATAAGCCAGGTAGGTATAGGTAAACCACTTCTGTCATGGTTGAAGGACTACCTAACTGAAAGGCAATTTTGTACCAAGGTCAATCGAGTCCGATCATCTTGGCACAGCTCGTCATCAGAAGTGTCGCAGGGTTCTATCCTAGGACGACCGATGTTTTTAATTTTTATCAATAATCTACCATGCCGTCCAAGCTACCTGACTCTTCTATACGCTGACGACGTGAGGATATGAAGTGCCCGGAGGACTCAGATAGGCTACAGGAAAATCTAAACCTTCTAGAAGACTGGGCGGTGGCCAGTGGCATGACTTTCAACCTTAAAAAGTGCAAAGTAGTGAAGTTACGCACCTGTAGACTGCAGAATGCAAGTTACACCCTGTGCAATGAAAGCTTGTCCTGCACAACGTCGGAACGTGACTTAAGTCTAGTTCTAACGGAGAAAATGGACACAAGTGTAAATTACACTGGGGATGTAGCGAGGGCATATGCGGTCATACACTTTACACAAAGACAGTTATGTGCACTCACTCCTAACCTTTTTATAAGGTTGTACAAAGCATACGTCAGACTACACCTTGAAGTGCATAATATCATTCCACGCCCACTGCTTAGAAGAGACGTCAACCTCTTGGAAAGAGTCCAAAGACGGGCGACCATTTGAGTGGTGGTTCTCCGAAATAAACCGTATGATGAAAGGCTGAAGAAATTAGGCCTATTCACACTTAGTTACCGTCGTCTTAGGGGGGATTTAATTACTGCCTACAAAATAACAAATGATCAGAATCACCTAAACAAAGGTGTTCTGCCATTGAGTAGGTATAGGCTCCCTCGTGGGATAGCTCATCAGAGGGCAAGGACCCGGGTGCGCTCCCACTTCTTTTCCCTGCGGGTTTACCATCCCTGGAATTCCTTACCGGAAGATATAGCTATGGCACCGTCTGCGGATGCTTTTAAGCGAAGGCTGGACACCCATGCAGCGGCACAATGACTGCATCCAAATGACCTATCTCCTTAAAGTCGCATACACCATTCAAGGGTAGACAATTAAACTTGTCGTTTTACTTCTTTACATTCTCCTCCGTCTTACGCTTCTGACAGCTTTAACCACACCTGTTATTATTATGATTATTACCGGTATATATATATATATATACCGGTTGACTGACTGTTGTTACGTTATCCTATTCTTTTTCTGTCTGTTAGTCTGAATACCTTCACTAATTATATCTATTATTATTAGTAGTAGTAGCAGTAGTAGTACTAGTAGTATCTCTTTTCTATTGACGACGATATCGAAGGACCAACTGGTGAAGGGATCGACTCCATTCACAGTAGTAACAGTCTTAACACACCTCATACAACAAACCACATATACTTAATCCCTGCACTACTCCTTTTGGAGTCAACCAAAGCTACGACAGTCAAGTGGCAGGACGAGCTACGTACAGGTTTACCGAAGATCAGGAACCTATACCTCACAATCAAGAGGCGAGCACAAAGAAATCAAACTGGTTTATACCAGCTCGTAAAATAGATATTGGGTATTGGATAACAATGGATCACCGATGTATCGGCCATCATGATGTCACCAAACGAGTTGAAGGCTCTAATATACTGGAAACTAAATTACCTTTGAACTACCAAGCGAAATTCGATTCAAAGTGAAGAAAAGTCCCAACTGAGCAGCGAGACAATGAAAAATAGTGGAGACCTAATGTAGAAAAGAGGTGATATTCATGATTAATTGCAGACATTTGTGTTTTTATTGAATTTTCGATTGGGGGAAAAAACATATGAGCACCAGGATGTATACAGGGAGATTTGGATTTCACCAACTTGATATGCCGAACATCCCGTTGACTTCATTGCATTGTCAAGAAAAAGGAAACACACTGTTGGACACAACGAAATCAGAAGCATGCGCGATTTCAGTCCACTGCCTATACTGCTAGACATGCTGTTTGAAAATTAAACTTGCTGATTCTTCAACCTGGTTTCCCTAAAGCAGTGAGGAGACTGCCCTGAACACCCCTACACTCCTAAACAAATGTGCTTGCCATTGAGTATTTAGACAGAATATAGGGAAAGAGATTCACACCGCAATCCAGCCTCCGTGCTCATCTCCCTCGAAAACAAAGCTGTCCATAACGTGATCCAATCGTAAGAGATGAGGAAATTGGTTGTTGAAGCTGAAATTGATGGCGGTCAACTGAATTACCTGATTCCAATGAATACCCACCGTCTCTGAAAGGCTTATGGTCGACACACGGAGTTGAACTGAGATCGCTTCAATGAAATCGCAATGGAAAACATCTCTGTCAACTCCGCCACACAACAGCACTCGAACACTTGATGTGGGCTACTTCAGTAGATATTAAGTTCAGTGGAGGACATGCAGCCTGATTAGGGACTCAGTCCGCTTATTCATCATATTTCTCGCTTCCATAATTAATGTGTTCCGTGATCGAGATATTGGTAAGATAAACCACACTGGTCTGTTTGTATATCCATTAACCATGCGAATCCTGGTCATCTATTGATACAGAACATCCTGAGATCTATCACTTAGGTGGTACAACTTTATTGTTTTGATTTATTATGCATCCAATTGCAAGAGGATTGACTACAAATATCCTTCTCTAATATGCTGATAATTGTAATTTTGCGGATGTATACAGATATGGGATCAGAAGTGATCCGGCTGTGAAAACCTGTTTTGAATGTGCCAATCTCATAAAGTTATTGTTTGCGGATAAAATGACCCTTTCCCTTAAAGATTTGTGGAGCCTAATCACGTTTTATTATAGAACGATAAATGAAGGTGGCTGACAATCAATAACTCAACAGATCTAAACAACCAAAGGGTGGATTTCCAACTTCCTGGTCAGTATTGGTAGCTTTTCGAAGGCTTCAGAAATATGACAGAATAGTATGGAGAATTCACAGACTTGTGCTACCTAGCCGCAGTTTTATTGGACATTGAGAAAGTTTTGTGTTCGACCTTAATCCGATTTTCAAGTTGGCTATAAATTATCGCGATTGCTAAACATTCAACACTCACAAGTTGATGCACTATAGCAAAAATGTAAGTTATTATGCAAAAATATATTTTCGACAGTTCTAAATATACTTCTAACGAGACATAGCACACAAGATTTTGCAGTGCCTGTTAGTTACTCAATATTATAATTATAATTATAATGATACAATATCATATATGATATTGTATACAGGCTCACCAGAACTACCATGCCTAAATTCCAGCTTTAGGCTCTACTCAGACTTATTTCATCATCCATTTATTATACCATCCATAAAGTAATTTATGACTCCTGCGAAAATTATAAGAATTAAAGTTCGTGGTTCATCCCTCTATCCGACGAGTAGATGAGTCGACTCGTCAGCTATTCAACACTACTCTGAACTAAATGTGGAATACATGAGTCATAAAATCTAATTGCTCAGTCTCCATAAAATTACTGAAATTACTTAAAAAGAAGTTTATCAATTAGGTTGATCTTAATCTCACTTTGACTACTTTATTTTACCTGTTATTGCAAATTT